TAGCATCCTTTTTCTAGGACATATATATATATATAGTCAGGAAATGTGTGGACCTAATAAATTAGTGTTTAGCATCCTTTTTCAGGACATATATATATATATAGTCAGGAAATGTGTGGACCTAATAAATTAGTGTTTAGCATCCTTTTTCAGGACATATATATAGTCAGGAAATGTATAGAACTAATAAATTAGTGATAACCATCCTTTTTAGGACATATAAATGGTCAGAAAATGTGATTAACTAATAAATTAATAATAAGCGTCCATTTGCAGGATGATTTAAATATAACTGGTCAGAAAATGTGATTAACTAATAAATTAATAATAAGCGTCCATTTGCAGGATGATTTAAATATAAATGGTCAGAAAATGTGATTAACTAATAAATTAATAATAAGCGTCTATTTGCAGGATGATTTAAATATAAATGGTCAGGAAATGTAATTAACTAATGAATTAATGATTTACACCAACTGTATTAACTATAGTCATGTTGAGACATGTTGATCAAATTTGTGCTGGCTCCACTTTGTGGAACTATTAAATCATAACCACCTATCATGGCAGCCTAGCAACACATCCTCTTCATGGAACTATTACGTAATCGTAAGTCATGACTGCCTGTCATGGTGGCTTAGCAATGCGCCTTCTGATGACAATTTGAAAAACTATTATGTAATCTTCTCTGACATCATGGCGGTCTAGCAATACGTAATTGTCCGTCATGGCGGCATAGCATGTCATTAAAATGGTGTATACATAAATACAATTGAGATATGTGTTTAAACTTAATTGTCATGTACAGTCTTTCTTTAGATATAAGGTTCGAATTTCTACTTTAAAATCATCATTTGTTGTTTATAAATCTACTTGTACTTGCTGTCAGCAAGGTTATATTGGGTCTACTAAAAGTAAATTGTTAATGCAAGTGAAAGAACACGCTAACATAAGATCCCCTAGTGAAGTGTACTTGAACCTGCTCTAGTCCCAGAATGTTACGTTGTTCATTCTGATTGGTTTAAGATCATAGCATAGGCCAATGATGAACAAGAGTCTCCTTATAAGAGAGAATTTGCTCATTCACAAGCTGCTAATGAACTGCTTTTAATGTAAGCAACAGCTTGAATAACTGTATGTTAGAAGGTTTTGTAAATTATTACAGGCAGAAAACAGTACATTTATAGAAACTCAACATGTTGTGGTGTACAGAAAACGTATAGCTACCATATGTTGTCTTATATACCACTAAACATCTAAAAATATCTGAACACTTGTTTTCTTCTATATTAGCACCTGTTATCATACCATGAAATGTACTAAAAAAAGAACCTTCATATCTATCTGGAAAAATAGTAC